CTAGGCATGCTGAGCCTCCCACTGAGACCTGGCATGGTGGGGCATGGCTGGAGACATTGAAAACAGGAGGATCACTATGAGTCCGAGCTACACAGTAAGACCCTGTACCAAATACATTTAAAATAGAAAGATGTCAGATTATTGGCTCCTGGTGGCATTATCAGGGTGAATGGGTAGAGACACTTCTGAGAAGAGTTTTGATTTTTAATCACAGTAAATCTGAAGGTGAATTTTAAGCCAGTGACATCATCATCTTCAATTTCCATTAAGTCTCTTTGAGTGATGTCCCTGCAACTGGTTCTAAGTGTAAAGTAGTCTGGAGATACAGCTCCATGGTAGGTCCCTTGCATCAGCTAGCTTCCGTCCCCTGCACTGGTAAATCTTTTTGTCTCCAAGGTATTGTCCTCTTCGGTCTCCATGAAGGCTAAACCATCTCTAATGTTGGAAGTCATTTTAGGTGTCCTCCTCCCTTTTCCTCTGTAAAGTAGCTAGTGACTTGGACTCAGCCACACTGTGTTAAAGGCGAAAGAAGATAGAACTTTTATCTTAAAAAGCTGAGATCACAGGTGTAAAATATGCTATTCTCTTTTAAGGTGAATAATAATTCACACATGGTATTAGTAATCAATAAGCCTTACTTTCCTTTTCATCTTGTTCTTTTCATCTTGCTCTTTTTTCACTTGAAATAATCAAAAAGCTACAATTAAAAATCACCAGGACCACCCCCTCTACAGGGGAGAGGAGTGGAATGCATATGTATGGATCAGACAAAGGTATTTTCGTATCTTGCCTAAGAAATTGATAATACCCTATTGGGGATTTTTGTGGTGCTCTTTATTCTGTCTGCAAGGTAGGCCTGGCTGGACCTAGCCTCTAGATGTCTTTACTTTTTATTTAGTTGGTAGAGTATTCTTGATGTTTTTCATTGTGCTCATATGCTACAAAGATAGAAAGAAAATGAGAAATTCCTTTATTTTAAAGAATAGCAGCTGGCAGCTGACACTGCCTGTGCTGCCAGCTCTCTTTAGGGCTAAGATTGAGGGTCAGAAGTTTGAGCCCAAGCTTGAGCAACTTAACCACTTAATGCAGCCATAGCTGAAAATTTGTAAATAGGTTGAAGGGGTGGGGATTGAGGGGTAGGGGGATGGGAATGTAGCCCAGTCCAGAGGCTTTGTTTTCAATTCCCAAGACCACCGACAAGAAAAAAGTCAGTATTCCCCCAGAGAACGCTATTGAGGCTCCAGCATCCCACCATGTAAAATGGCCAGCCCTTAAATCACTCCATTCAAGCATGTCAGCTCTGTCACCTTTTTTCCCTAAGACTTGCTGTGATACTCACAAGTGTCCATCAACTCCAAAGTCACAATCTCATATCAAACCTAAACATCCCAGTCCCATCAAAGAGATCAGGGGGATGGGGGGCTGGATCCCAAAGTGTAGTTTTTATGAAACAGAGTTTGCATTCCCACAGGGCCATGTTCTTCCAACATTATGGGCAGAGCTTTAGTAAATAACCATGGGGTAGGCATGTCAGGTGAAGGGGGATTCTACCAGTGGATCCCAATGTCAAGGCACATTTCATCACTGATTTGGTATAAATTATCAGGATACCATATATTTCATAACAGATTTTCTTACTATGCAGTAATTAGGTTTTTTTTTGTTTTGTGTTTTGGTGGTGTGGACAGAACCCTGGATATCACACTTAAAGATAAGCGTGTAATGCTGCACTAGCCCTGCAGGCCCCGCCCCTAGGCATGCTGAGCTGTCCAGAGAGATCGGGCATGATCTGACACGCCTGTAATCTCAGCACTGGAGAGGCTGAAAACAGGATATATATATATATGAATAATTTATATGTATAGAATGGAACAAAGAAAAGCATGTGAACTCCTTCCCCAGCCCAGTAAGAAGATTATTTAAGTATCTTTGGGGGAGGTATTAAGGAAGAATCATTTAAGAGTTAGAAGAGCTTAACCTGGCCAGGAAGGGCCTGTGATGAAAGCATGTTATTGTTAACTATATATATGGTGCTTTTTTTATTGCTCTCCACAATGGCTGTTTGCTTTCCTTTGTAGATGTCCACGGTCTGCAGATGATGAGCGCAAGCATCCTGTCCTCTGTCTTTTCTGTGGGGCCATCCTGTGTTCTCAGAACATTTGCTGCCAAGAAATCGTGAATGGGGAAGAGATCGGAGCTTGTATTTTCCATGCACTTCACTGTGGAGCAGGAGTCTGCATTTTCCTCAAGTGAGTAGCATGGAGCGCAAGGAATGTGGAGCCATGTTAGAGGCCATTGTGGTGGGACAGCACCTTAGCACATCAGGAAATGGTTGATGAGGAGTTAGAGTACAAATTGCATTTGAGAAGATTTACAGAATAGAGGGCTGGCCAAATAGCTCTGCAAATTAAAGTGCCTGCAAGCAGGCGCATGGGCCAGGGATTTGATCCCCAGGCCTGCATGCCAGCCCCGCCCCCAGGGCACATTGAAACAGCAGTTGAGACTGGGCATGGTGGTGTGTTCCTGTAATCCCAGCACTTGGGAGGCTGTAAACAGGAAGATCACTATGAGTCCAATCTAGTAGTGAGACCCTGAATACCCTGTAGACCCTTCCCTAAAGTACAAAAAAAAAAAGACTTATCGAATAAATAGTAAAAAGAGTAGGATTCTGCACGTTTTCATTATTTGTAGAAAATCTTAAGATTTTGTATTAATGACTGGAATTATGTAATATTCAGGTATGATAAAGCATTTCAGATTCTAAAACATATTTTTAAAACTACATGTAAATTATTACTTAGGTTATCTTTTGGATGTTTTTATTTTCTTCATTTCTTATATCAAGCCAGAGTCTCCCTAGCCCTTCAGCAGAAGACTGAGTAGAACAGTAGTCACATACATTAATGAAAGAAGAGTGTGGATTGCCTGAGAGAAGTGAAACTCAAAGTGGATGTGTAGATGTTTTCTTTCTATTCTCCCCATGTAATGCAGTTTCTATTTGTATAAACCTTGTTAGTCTCACTAACTGTGAAATATGTTACTACTCAAAGGCATCTTTTAAACCAAGGGGAAAGAGTGCATAGAAGCCAAACCCGAATACCTGTTTTCTTCTAGGAAACCCACATCTACCCCAATTATTTAATGATTTCTGTTAACCATTTCTCTCTGTAGTACTTACATATTTCTCTGTTGTAAGAGTCTCAAGTGTCTTCAATGACCTAGCAATGGTTCTTCTTTTTTTTTTTTTTGTGGAACCGGGATTTCTTTTGCTGTTGATGATGATGTTTGTTGTTTGAGGTATTGAGGATTGAGATGCATCCCAAGTGTTGTGTTCTGTTTTGTTTTGTTTTGTTTTGTTTTGTTTTGTTTTGTTTTGTTTTGTTTTGTTTTGTTGAGATAGGGTCTCACTATGTAGTCTATGCTGACCTCAAACTCAATCCGCCTGCCTCAGCCTCCTCAATGCTAGGATTACAGGTGTGTGCCACTGCACCAAGCTATTTTTTTTTTTAATAAGATCTTGATGAAATTACCTTCGCTAGGCTTAAATTTGAAGTCCTCCTGCTGCAGGCTTTAAGAGTGCTAGGATCACATAGGTGTGCCACTAGGCCCATACAGTGGTTCTCTTTAACCTACAGTCTGTGTGGTTGGAGGCTGGCTGTCACCAGAAAAGCCTTTATGGCTGGCCTGCAGTTATTAGACTGGGACATCTGGTTCACTTCTTCTGTGAAGCTCTCACCACATTATGTAGGCTGTAAGTTAGGAAAAGGAATAATAGCCACCATTAGAACAGGCTCTTCCCTGCTTTCGGTGTATTCAGCCAGTATTACTGATGCCTTTTCTCTAAATCTACTGATCTTTTCTTGTTGCTTGAAGAAAAATACAGCAATATCTGTTCTCATTTATTTAGACAAATACAACTTATTCTGTTCATTTATGTTTACGTTGTCTTTACACTGAAATTCCTAGTAGATCCTGGCTGTGTCTCTTCTCTGGGTTAACTCTGATGCAGTGCCTTCCACTGCACACACGCACCTAACAGTGTTCCCTGTTTACTGTTTTTTGCTTCAGAATCAGAGAATGCAGAGTGGTCCTGGTTGAAGGTAAAGCCAGAGGCTGTGCCTATCCAGCTCCTTACTTGGATGAATATGGAGAAACTGACCCTGGACTAAAGTAAGATTTTCTTTTAATAGGAAGGCTTCAGCTGGGTGTAGCAGTCCACACTTGTAACCCTCGCACTCATGAGGCTGGGACAGCAGAATTGCCCTAGGATTGTAGCCTAGTTTGAGGCCAGCCTGGGCTACAAAATGAGTTCAAGATCAGCCTGAACTACATAGTGAAACCCTGTCTCAAAAAGACAGAAAAAAAGAAAAATTGATTAAAATTAATTAAGCCAGCTGAAATTCTTAAATTCTTCAAGGAATGATCATCTTACAGGTCTCCACTGCTGGCATCATGGGGGCCGGGGAGATAGCTCAGTGGAATGAGTGCTTGCCTGGCAAGCTTAAGGTCCTGAGTTCAATCCCTGGTGCCACCCCCCCCCCCAAAAAAAGGATGAGTTCTTTCACAATGCTACAAACTGCAATGCTAGAATGGAGGTGAAGCTGTTTTACCTCAGTATTTGCTAACCCCACCATGGTGGCAGTATCCATAGTCCTGGCTGTTCAAAGGGGTGAAGCAAAGTTATCTGAACTCTAGAGTTTCAGGAAAACCTGGACAACCTTGGGAGACTTCTCCCATACCAAAATAAATAAGATACATAAGTAAATATGTGCTAAGCACCATCAGTTTATTGTATCATTACAACAATTGTAACCAAATATTTCTGAGTAGCAGACTATTACTTAAGGGTTTAGTGTTAGGCCTCAGACCTAACCTCTATTGTGCAGAGACCAGAAATTGGAGCTGGATAAGCTATTTGAGGCCAAAAAGCCATTAGAGCCCATTTTAGCTAACTACCCAGAAAGGAGCAAAGCTGCTTCAAGTTATAAACCTCACTGGACATTTAAATTAGCATCTGTTATGCTTATGATAAACTTGGCCTAGGGGTTGGGGAGATGGCTCAGTAGAATAAGCGCTTCCCTGGCAAGCGCAAGGGCCTGAGTTCAATCCCCAGTTCCACACAAAAAAAAAAACAAAAAAAAAAAACTTGGCCTGTTTTCTCAGTAGTTAGGGAATAAATTTGTGCTCTTAACTGAGTAATACACTGTACAAAGTTCTCAGTGATCAGAGGTAAAGAGACAGCCCTTCGAAAGCCCTGCCCTGGATCCTCCCAGCTCCAGAAATACTTCCCAGGAACATACTGATTAAGACTGTAAAAGTGTAACTGTGGGCCGGACAGATGGCTCAGCAGACTAAAGCACCTGCTTAGGCAGAGCGCCATGGCCAGGGTTTGATCCCCAGCACACTGAGATGCCAACTGACACTGAGCATGGTGGTGTGTGCCTGTAATCCCAGCACTTGGGAGGCTGACAAAAACAGGAGAATCACTACGAGTCCAATTTGTGTAGTGAGACTCTGTAGGCCCTGCAGACCCTGTCCTAAATACATCTAAAAAAAAAAAAAAAAATGTAACTGTTGATTCAAACTTATGTGCTTCCTTTTTCTCCCTCATGGCAGAAGGGGCAACCCCCTTCATTTATCTCGTGAGCGGTATCGGAAGCTCCACTTGGTCTGGCAACAACACTGCATTATAGAAGAGATTGCTAGAAGCCAGGAAACTAATCAGATGTTGTTTGGATTCAACTGGCAATTACTGTGAGTTCCTGCTCTGCTTCAAGACAATCATGAATGACAACAATAATAAAGACTGATTTAAAGTTATGGATAACTCTCTGAGGGCTGGGGAAATAGTGGAGAGTTGTTCCATGTCCACGTTCACTGTTGGAGTATTGTTTTCAGTCAACAGACATGTGCTACGAGGGAAAAATGGCATAGATTAATGTATTTTATGCTCTAGAACACTAAAGAAATGCTTGCCCAACCCAAGTTTCTGCTTCTGATGTTTCCAGAAAAGTGACTCTCTTTTGTAATCTGTCTACCTGGTAAGTTAAGTCGTACCAAGCAGTTGTGCACATTTTCATGTGGTAACTCTTCTGCAGTTTTGTCTTTGTTTTCCCAAGTGAAGCTCAGCCAATGCTGGATCACTGACAAGATTCTGAGTACCTATAATGGTCTTCCTTACAGCTAAAGAGGAATTGTAGAAACTATGCATTACATTTTAGTTGAGAAAGATTTCAAAAAAGTAAACTTCATGTGCCAGTTGGGCTTGGTGGTGCACACCTATAATCCCAGCACTTGGGAGGCTGAGGCAGGAGGATTGCTGCAAGTTCAAGGCTAGTGTGGACCAGATAGTGAGTTCAAAGCTAGCCTGAGCTGCATAGCAAGACCTTACCTTAAAATAGGAAAGTAGACTTCGTTATTTCTCCTTTATATAAATATCCTTATGTGCCACCTGCTACTGTAAACCAGAAATTAATGTGAATCTCTTAAAAGGACAGAGTGGAGGTGCTGCCAGCATGCAGTAGGGTCACCCTGTGCAGGCCTGGAGATGAGTTAGGATCATGTATTCATTATTCATTTCTCAGACTATCCAGATAGCTCAGCAGATTAAAGCACCTACTTAGGCAAGCACAGGGACCGGGATTTGATCCCCGGCAAGCTGTGCTGGCCTCGCCCCCTGGGTGCACTGAGACAGCTGCTGAGACTGGGTGTGGTGGCATGAGCCTGTAATCCCAACACTTGGGAGACTGAAAACAGGAGGATCACTACAAGTCCAGCCAGTGTAGTGAGACTCTATGGACCCTGTACTAAATTTAAAAAAAGAAAAAGGAATTATTCATTTCTCATAGTACAAGGAACATGTGGTTCTCCTTCTTGACTGCAAATAGCTTGTTGAGTTTGAAATTGTACTCTATACTTTCCAGAGGGAATTTCTATGGTGAGATCCCTTATCTCTTGATGGTGGTACTGTACCATCCTATTTGACTCTCAGAAACCTGTTGAAATTCTGATGTAAATTCTTTGTAGAATGAGATCAGAAAATTCCCCCCATGAATGGAACACAGCAACTGTAAATTAGAACAATCAGATTTAAGTCAATTCTGCCACTTTCTATGTCTTTGTAAAAGACAGCTCCTTGATTTGTTATCTGTATGCAGCCTTTTCATACATGCTTTTATAACTAGTGTGAAGAGCCAGAAAAGCCTTGTGATCAGTAGTCTGTGTCCTGTTACAACATGCTCTGGTTGAGCCATTTTGTTTATAAATAATAAAGCTCTACCAAATCTGTGCATAGACTTCTTGGTTCTAGGCTTTGACTTTTTATATCAAGAAATTATGATCTAAAACAGCAGACAGACAATAAATTAAAACCCTCCACTATAGTTTCTGTTTTCCGAGGTAAAGTGAACAGTTTGAAAGATTCTTTCTATGGCTACTACTGTCTCGTATGGGTGTAAATTTTTCCTGTCTTTTTTTTTTTTTTTTTTTTTTTTTTTGCTTAGCGAAAGCAAGCAGATAAAAAATGTGTTTGCAAAATGATCTGTGATGCCCATTTGAGGCTAGATTTTTGGGGTTTCTTCTGTAAACAAAAGTAGGTTTTGCAGTAAGAGATCACATGAGCTGACATCAGAATCATAATCACAATTTCTACTTCGTAATTACTAACCAGAAGTTATCAGGAAATGGATGCAACTTGAGTGAGCAATTAACATATAAGGATCAGAAAACGAAGTATTAAGTTAGTCAGATTTGCCAGTATGGTGAAAAGATTGGGACATTTCCCCTTGTTACTTATATAATTTTTTGGATTGATTGTTCAGATGCAAAATCTGGGGTACAAGAGGCAACAGAAGATGCTACTGCCTTCTGCCCTCATTGCCGGGGTCCTGTTTAGCAAGGATAAATTGATTTTATTTCTAATCTTTTTATATGCCTTTCATAAGTCCTAGAGTTAAGCTGTTTAGCTGCCAGAGAGACTGTCTGGCACTGGCCAAAGAGCTCATACCGAGTGTGAAATTCTGCACTGTAGATGAGTATGTATTTCAGTGCTGCCCAGCCCCAGGGATTGCCAGTGATCCTCAGATGTCCTAGGGGTTTGCCTTCATTATTGCAAATAATTTATGCCTATGAAATTTGCTTACAAACAAGCAGCCAAGTCACTTTGTTTCCTTTAGTGTGTATGTGAAGTAACTGGTTCAAAAAGTTGGCTCCAAGATTGTGTTTTTCTGACTTCTGGTGAGGGGCTGGCAAGACTTTTAATGATTCAGTAAAGAGAAACATTATCTGTATGATTAATTTATTATGTTGGTGTGTGGGCCGTGAGTTCCCTTCTAGTGGTCACTTGTCATTTCATAACAACTATGCATTTTGGTTCACTGTGATGATCTGTACTTAGTGACTGCAACATGTTTGTACCACTAACTCAAATTCCATCCATGATGAAGTTATACAAATAATGCATATATTGATATCTTTTATTGCAAAAATGTAAATTTAAAACTTGTATAATGTACTTGTGCTTTTTGAAATAAAATATATGTGTATATTTAAAGAGGAAAAAAACAGACCTCTTATGTTTAGGGATTTGGGTTAGAAGTATTAAAAATGTATAACTACAAAGGAGCTCTTTAAAAATTTTTGTCAGGGTGGTGGAGATAGCTCAGTGGTGTAAGCACCTGCCTGGCAAGCCTATGGTCCTGAGTTTGATCCCCAGGAACAAGAAAAAAAGTTTTGGGCCGGGCTGATAGCTCAGCAGATTAAAGCACCTGCTTAGGAAGACACACAGGGACAATGGTTCAGTCCCTGGGGCATGCTGAGATGTTGAATGAGACTGGGCATGGTGGCACACGCCTGTAATCCCAGCGCTTAGGATTAAAAAAAACAAAAGGTGAATGATAAGCAAGATTCTCAAAGCTGCAAGAGAAGAAACAATCCTGCTCCAACCTCCTGACCATAGACCTCAGCATAAACCTTCTAGGCCAAGGGAAGGTGACATGAAATTTTTACAGTCTGGAAGAGGAAAAAAAATCTGCCAACCAGGAATATTCTACCTGCAGAGTTTAACAGAACTATTCTACAAAAGATGTTAAACAAGTTCTTCCAGTACATGTTTGCAGTGAGGATGCAACGCTTGCCGAGCATGTACGAGGCCCTGGTTTCAGCCTGCAGCACCAGGGGGAGTGGGGAACACCACTCAGAAGATTTTGGTGCTGCAGCACACCCCTGTCATTTTAGCTATTTGGAAGGCTGAGGCAGAAAGGTTACTTGAGCCAAAACCAGCATGGAAAACATGGTAACCTGTTTCTCAAGGAGAGAGAAAGAGAATATAATGATAAAAGGGTCAAATCAGCAAGCGGAATTGACAGTTCTAAATATATGTGCACCTAACGTTGGAGCATGCGAATATGTAAAGCATATATTGACAGACCTAATGAAAGCTACAAGCTCTAGTGCTGCAATAGTAAGGGACTGTTCCTTTCAGCAATGGATAGACCATCTAGATGGGAAACCAGTAAACAGTTAAATTACCCACGAGACCAAATGGACCTAACCAAAATCTATGGAACATTTATTTCATACAAACTTAAACAACATACATTCTTCTCAACAGCACATGGACTGTTTTGCAGGATAGATCATTTTGCAACAGAAGCAGAAACACCAAAACAATACCCAGGATTTGGAGGCAGATTTATTTAATGTTGGACTGGCATTAACTAGAAATTGATAGTTTTTTAAAATGTTAGGCGCATTCCTTCCATCAGGAAGCATAGTAGAATTCTCTTGTTAATTGGAGATTGGTTTTATAATATGCATCATAGCAACCAGCTATGCATCATAGAGACTGGCCAGATATGCTACTGATTGTAAAGATTGGGGAAGTGCATTCCCTGGCTGGCCTTATTAATCAAACTCTATTTTGCCTAATCCTTGGTGTAATGTGGAAATAATCTTGCCATTTCATCAAAAAGAAAGAAAGAAAAGGAAAGGAAAATGGAAGACAGCAGCTATTAGAGCATAAAGGCAAAGGGAAGAGGCAGCCCTTAGCCACTGGATCCAAGTATTGGCACAGGTAAGCCCTGGGTGCTCCCAGGGGCTGCCAGTCTGCATAAGCATTATTGTTCTTATACACTTAAAGATCCAGATTTTATAGAAGCCAGCAGCTTCCAGAAATTTGTGAAGTTTTTGTTGTTGTGTATAATCAAGTTTTTTGCCAGGTATTGTAGCAGAGCTTTTGTTTTTTCAGTAGACAGCCAAAGTACAGTGACATTTTGTGCTGGCAAACTAGCAAGGTTAGCTTTATTAAAGAGGGTAAACAAGTTTTTGAACTTCTGGGAGGTTGAATTCAGGTAAAGAAGGGCTGGCTGGCAGGAGCCAGTTGAAGGCAGAAGAAGGTATGTTTTAGGTTCCGGCAGGTGTACCAGCAGGCTGTGGGTGGCAGAAGACTGAAGCAATGTACATGGAGATCTTGAGCTGGCTTTACAATCAAGAGAAATGTATTTTTATCTTTTTTTTTTTTGTACTGGGAACAAAGTCCGGACCATGTGCTTACCAGACAGGCATTTGTGCCACTGAGCTGTACTCCTGGCCCTACAAGAGGTGTTTATTAGCATTTTTTTTTTTGAGGGGAGGGGGCACCATGGTGGAGCTGAGGAGGACAGAGAAACAGGCTCTCCTGGAGCCAAATCTGTTACTAGATGTAAGAGTTTCCAAATCCTTGTAGCAACTGAATAACAACCAAAGGGGGGAGGGGCAGGGTATGGATTGGGAACCACAGAATGCAAAGTGATGGCTGCCTTGATGGCACAGAGAATTTGCCTGAGGAGGCTGTGGTGGTACCAGGCCCAAGGTGATTAACACTTGCGCTGTGTGGCTGGATGCCTGGTTGGGCTGCCCTGACAGGGTTGTGGATTGTGGTGAGGCTGCATGGTTGATGGCCAGGCCTGGAGGCCAGTTTTTAACTTACACCTTTGGAAGGAGAGAGTTTAGAACTTTAAGACGCGGTCATCTGTTTCGGGCTGATGCAGACATTATCTTTCTTTCTGGGAAATGAAAGTCGAAGTTGAAAGTACGGGGTAAAGTGAGAGGGAGGCTGACTGGCTTGGTGACAAGAATTTATGTTTGGTGAAAGATTCTTCCAGGCTACAAGTTTGTGCTTGGCAGAAGGGGCGACAGGCAATCATTGTCCCAGTGGTGGTAACCTTTTTTTGACAGAGGGCCCTTTTTTAAAAAAGCTTCTGAACAGAGAGAACTTTTGAAGGTAGAGAGGTTAGTTCCATTTTTTACTGAGAAATTTATAGATTGGTTCCAAAATATGGAAGCTTTTGAGAGGGTTTTTTTTGGTTTTGTTGTTTTTTTTAATTTAAAGGAGCATTTATTTTTGTGTCCATAGCCAGAGGATATGGTTGTCTGTTAAGACTGGAATTTTTATAGCTATTAGATGCTTTTTTAAAATTAGGTTTCTGTGTAACAGTGGTTGATGGGCCTTCTGACCCTCCTTTGATATTTTTTAATATTTTAGGTTTTTATGCAGGGTATGCTTCAGGAAAGGCCATTGCACTTTGTTTGTCAGGGCTGACAGTCCAGTGTTTTTACAATGTGGCACCTAGAGGGAATTGCTAACAGTTAGCTTGGGATGGCACTAGATGACACCATCTGACCA